TTCAGTAAACCGACCGAAGCGCCACCAATAACTACCCCATGACCCCGACTATGGTCTTGCTTCGGAAAACGTTAGTTCGGCCTCCTGGTCTCTATTCTTCATGCTCCCTTATTATCTCTGAGTTTTCGGTTCAAGTTAACCACGGTTAACGTGTGATTAAGGAATTTGCGTTTCGGAATCAACTACTGTAGCTGCAATAAAGCGAAATTAGATAGGGTTACAGTACTGCTACTGCTACTAAGTCGATTGCGAAACGCGCCCTAAGTTAAGTTGGGACCCCCCACCACACAACCTACGTGAGGGGAATTATTTCTCCTACCGGCATGAGTTGAGAGGAAAATGGCGGACGATTAGGACAACAGAACTCGGTGTTTATTCCCTCAGTTGCCGGTTTCAAGTTAATTGTGTCTAATAAAAAAGAAAAGCATTGAATATTAGTGTTCCATTAAGACGAGCATTAAGGAAATCCTATCTGCGATGGCTAACAATGACATGTAAGGATGGAATAAGTGTTTTATTTCAAAGTTTTTACAATGGATCATCGTGTCCATACATTATTTTCCTCAATTTTTAAAATAATTTTATACTTGTAAAAGATCCACCAAAATTCGAGCCCAAAATTTTACTCAAGATGAAAAGATGTCTCTTGTCGCTATCATCCAGAAGTTTGGTGAAATAATTGAATGCAAATAAACCAATTCTGTATCAAAAGGAGATAAAGACAAAGCCTGGAACAGTGTTCACGAAGAATATAATGTCAATGCAGATCGACCCCGTACTCTTGACATGCTGAAAAATTGTTGGAACCATTTAACGAAAAAGGGCAAGAGTTATGTGGCAACAGAATATCGCGAGAACGTGAAAACAGGTAAATTTTGCGGATAAAAAATCTGATGAAGTGATAATGTCAAATTTCAGTTGAAATTTCCTCATTGAAAATTCAAAATTTCGTTAAAAAAATAATCGAAAACTGTGATTTTTCGGGCAGTTATTCCATAGAAATCAATAGAAATCATGAAAAGTTATTCTTGAATTTGCAATTTAATGTTAATTCAACAAAATTTGATACTCATCAATGCCCATGTTTTAACTACAAGTTGAAGTGACTTAACGAATCCTCACATTCGTATCACTTGGAAATGTTGAGCTCGATTCCACTCTAAGGGGAATCGAAATTTCATGATTATTTTCCCCTTCCCCCTTACTTGAATTCAATGGAGTTCCTCTGAAAATGACACGTCCATTAAAAAATGACACGTCTATGTCCATTAATGACACGTCCATTAAAGTTGGATAGATTTTTTAGAAAATGTATGGCCCTGTTCATGACTCTTCTTCACTCTGTACGTGTACAGAATTTCTTATATTGCACTTAAAAATTCGAAATTACATTTTCCGTGATTAGTGAAACTCTTAATAGTCTTCCCTGGATCTGAGGAACTATTCAATAGATGATGAGGAGTTACTAATAGTTATTATCGATTGTAGGAGGTGGCATCAAAAATTTTAAATCCGACCCGCTCATGGAGGAAATATTAAAGGTGTTTGGGCGTCAGATAGAGCCCCTCAAAAATCCCTATGATTCAGATGCTCTATTCATTGTGGGTGACGATGATGATGAACTGGAGGATCCAATTGAAGGGAATAAGGACATTCATAGATATCTTCGAGACTCCGGGCAACTTCCAGACTGGTCAAAAATGTCTGTGAAGAACCTGAAAAAACCTGTGAGTTCACCTCTAGCTGAGCAAATGATGAAAATACTGAAGCCTGATGATACAACTGGACTGAAGCAAGAAATTAAGAAAGTGGATTTTGTTGATGATAAAAAAGGTATTGAGGATATTAATGAGGATACAGACTTTGTGCAGCCACATGAATTTGTCGACCTAAAGAAGGTGCAGGAAAATTCTGTTCCCTAGAAGGTGACACACATTACTCTATTAACTATCGTGCAATCATTGAGACCATTACTAATTTTTTAAATTTCGTTTAGGATGAATCGGAACTCCAGTCAGAGCAGGAAAAAAGGATCGACATGCAAAATCAGTTTCGTTCTTCTCCAAACATTCTTGATGCACCTCATGATGGGATCAACTTCCATCAGGAAACCGAGAGCTGTTCTGAAGAGAACAAAATCAACATTAAAATCAACAGAACTAAACTCTATAAAGAACCCCTAAAAGTCAAGAGATTGGATCTCAAAAATGATTTGCTACAGCTGCAGTTGGAGAAGAAAAGATTGAAATTGGAGGACCTGAACAATAAATTGGAAAGAACAACAGAGGGGGAATTAACAAATGAATGAGTAAAACCAAAGAAGAGTTGCCAAACGTTAGATTTTCGTATTAAGTATTGAAGAAAAGTTCTGGTATTTCTTGTTATAGAAAAATAGATTTATCGAGATGTTAGCCTCTGCACGGGGAAGTTACTATGAAGATTATTAAAATGGAAGTATTAATAATCAAAATTTTTTTGGAATGAAAAATTCCAGGGATTGAAAGATGTCAAGTACAAAATATTTTTGAGCTGTGACTTATATGATTATTACTTCCGATGAGATCTGTCTGACATGTCAAATAACTGCAGAGTAATGAGTCATAAAGATATGGAGAAGTGATTATTATTATTTGATGTTCACGTAGTTTTTATGGACGAGTAACAATGTGCAATCCATGTATTACTATTTATTTTTATTTATATACAAAGAGCACGTTGAAAACCCACTGAACCCATTCCTAAACGTCTTTTCGAAGAAAGTTCTTATTCTTTTTTCTAGGAAGTTCAATACATTTAATATAACTATTTTGTAGTCAAGGCATTACTGATGTTGAACATTAGTAATATAAAAATTCAATTGTTTGATTCTAGTTATAAGGGGATCGTTAGTCATTCGCAATTCTGTACGGAAGATATCTCATATGTTATCGTAGATATTACAATATCAATGTAAAGAGTAAGATCGTGATAAAATCTCGTTCCTGACATAAAAATGCAGATGTTAATGTATGTTGCGAGGAATACTTTTTCATGAGCTGTGGCCAAAAATAAGGGAAGAAAAGATTTTGTCTTTTCCCTCAGTAGTACGTTATGGACTGCCAAATACTTACTATTTAATTACAGTTAAGAGATAAAAGTACCTTCATTCCACGACGTGTGATAATATAATGTTAATTGAAATGTTAAGCTGTTCATGAAGTGTTCAATATAATATTTAAATAC